TGTTTCTGAACTGCCACAAAAACGGATATGTTTTTGATGTTGTTCGTGCAAGAAATCACCAATAGAGAAAATACTTGAAGTACGAGGTATTAACGTGGTAGGTTCAAATTATGCAATTGGCCATTTCTGATGCCTTTTGCCTCTGTTTCAAAACGAGTCCTGGTGCCAAACCATTCAAAAGACGGAAAATGAGTCAATAAAGCACGAGTCGTGACGCGCGAGTATCACAGCGCAACGAACCGTTTCCCAGCCATTTTGATTCGCGCTTCGCACTAGCCTCCCGTGTCGCGCTCGCGTAAAAGGGTAATAAATTTCAAAAATAAATAACCAATAAATTATATAAAGTGTTGGCCCGAAGGATTCATTCTGGTATTCAAATGTCGCCATTCTCGGTGTAATCCGTTGATATGTTTTGTGAATTTTGGTCATTCGTCGTTTTTCTTGGACTAATGATAGTATGTGATTACTGAAGGATAAAGTTGATAAGCCTGCACATGCGCCCAACCATGAAACACTCCCTTTAAACCTTAACCGAAAGCAAACAGTTTTTTTTGTATAATAGTTAGAAGAAATTTGACGAAACTAACTGTAAAATTCGGAACTTTCAGGGAACCAATTAGTCCAATCAGAATGCTCCTATTTTAGAGACCAGTTTAGCATGTACTAATATTTTGCGGGGGATGATAAAATACTCCCACGTCAAGGACGAACTAAAATATTCATCAAAATTCTGGGAAAAAAGTATTTCAAGTGGAAAAGGAAGGAAACCGTATGAATAATTAAAGAGGGCTGTTTCCCCTTTCTACTTGACGGCCCGGTCGGTCAGGCGATAACTACTAGTATTTTCCTATCGGAAGCCTTTTAAAACCCGCTTCTGATAATACAATGATTAGAAACAACTGATTAAAGGATTTGAAACAAAGAAGTTGTTTGTATTTCAGACGAACTATAAATGTGATAATTAAACACGTATCTTAGAACACCGAAATGATCTTCTGATGAAAGGAAATGTCGCCCTTCCTCGCTTGCAGGGAACGAAGCAGTCAGTTGTTCTATATGTCTTTTAACCGTCCTTTCTGTTCAAAACCAAGGAAAATATCTTGAATTTCATTTTGCAAAATTGACAAAAACAAACAGCACCACATGAAAGTACTGCTCAATAGTTTTCATTTGAATGGTCACACACTAGGGTTTCATCCACAGACTAAACTAAGATACAACCACGTTTATTGACTCAAGGTTTGACTCTGGGAGTGAAAGGACTGATATTTGCGTGTGCTTGTTCGTTGTTTGCCGTATCAGAATTTAGGACAAGGGTTGGCTGGATAACAAAACCAACAAAGGGTTTATAAACGCGAAACAATTCAGTGCAAAAAGATTACAAGGAAGCAATGGTATAGCCAGTAGAATTTAGCTATGTTTAGATTAAGAAAAACAAACATGTGCTTACAAAAGCCGACAGCGGGCGGGACAGCGGGGTTCTTACAACATGATTATTGAAGCACAACTGAATCACAAGAGAATCAAAGATCGGCAAAACGGTGTCGGATGCCTTTAGGCAAGTTACACGTGAACTCGCTAAATTTAAAACTCACCGGCTTTGAAGTTCAGTTGCAGTGTAATTTGGCCTAGAGGCATTCTTGATGTTTTGATCGCTTTGATCAACTCTTCTGCGCTGTCGGGGGAATAAAGAGGCGGCTTTCTTGAACACGAACAGCAATTTGGTTTGAATTTGATCAGTAAACCACACCAAACACAAGAACGACTGACTTCACCAGACCTGACTTACACTGTTTCGTGTTCTTATATTCAAGGAGGACACTAAAAAAACCCCAAGATATTGAACTGTAAAAAATCCATAGTTACCTTGTTTTTCAATTTTTTTTTAAACAAAATAATTCAATGTTTTCTTTTCTTGAACCAACAGGCTCTGTTATTTTCATTGCGTGACGAGCCCAAAGGCAAAGAAACTACGGCCATACAATCATTTCTTGCTACATATGAAAAAAGCAAAAAACTTGTGAAAAAATATTTGAAGGATAATGACTACAATAGCCTCCATTTGGCGAGGAAATATGCTCGGATATTTGTCCTTGGACATTATCTGTTCCTCGAAGCTCACTGAGTTTTCCGAGGCGAAAACAGATAATGCCCGCGGACAAATATCCGAGCATATTTCCTCGCCAAATGGAGGCTATTGTCAGCTTTTCAGTTTGGTTTTCATATAAAGAAGAAGACGGGGACTACAAACCACAATCTTAACGCACAATTCTTAGTGTCGGTTGGAGGTTCTTTACTGCTAGTATTGGATTCCTATCTAACTGCCTTTAGTTCATAAAAAAATACAGACATCGAACCTCCTTTAAAGCAATAAAGGGGCTGTGTCACGCTACTTTTTGCTATTCTTCTCTGTATTCTTTTTTTACGAGCTATAAACTCAAACATGTCAATGAAATATTAATTCAAAGATGGAATCTCACGTACATAACAAACACAGATGATTTCTAAGCATTATTTACCACTTGTTTCAAACAAATGTACTTAACTTGAAAAAAGACTGGCCGTCGTTTTTCAAGTTAACCTTTTCGCAATCCGTTTCAATCTTGTCCAATTTTGACCATCCGCACTTCATTGCGGCTTCCTACTAGTATTTGTTATGTTTTTCTATGGTTTGAAACCATTATTTTGTGGTTTCACTATATTTAGTTTGCGTGTAACATAATTGCTGAAAATAGCAGCGTGACACAGCCCCTTTAACATGCCTTCAAAGGGACACCTCTCTACAACGGCCGGGAGTTTTCGTTTAGACCTTGTGCCGATCCATACAAACGGTTCAGTTCTCTTATTGAAACCTCCCTTCAACGGTCATCTTTCTACAACGGCCAGGAGTTTTCGTCCAGACTGTACGCCAATCCATACATCACTTTACTTTTATTGAAACCTCCCTTCAACGTCCACCTATCTACCACGGCCAGGAGTTTTCGTCTAGATCATACGCCGATCCATACACGTTACTTTCATTGAAGCCTCCTTACAATCCACGGTAAGAAAAAAGATGGCGGCTGTACATTTTACCACAATACCTTGCGAACCTAACAAAGCCAATAGGCACATCTGAAAGCCATATTTTCGCGAAATTCGTCCCTGTACTAACAACATTGTGTATGCTAGGTTTGAAGTTTTTAGAACTTTTCTGTGTGTTTTTATGAGCGTTTTAGGGTTTTCGTGCGCTAAGAATTGTGGGTAAATGTACCAGTCGCCGTCTTTTTTCTTACGGTGGATTGTCACCTCTCTATAACGGCCAGGATGTTTCGACCAGACAGTGCCGTGCGCCGATCCGGCAGTTGAAACCTCTCTACAACGAACAGAGTAATTCTGCCCCAGGGTGCATGTGGCTGTTGTGGAGAGGTTCATTTGTAGTTTTAAAAGAGCTATGTCACGATATTTTAAGTCACGTTTTTGCAACATACAAAATTACTTTCAAATTGAAGGAAACGTCAAAATTATAGTTTACCAAGGTAGAGCAATACCAATGGTGTAATAAGAAACGAAACAGGAACAATGATGGTTAAGGATGGAGAAGATTAAGGCGGGACTTAACCTAAATTTCAATGAAATTTTAAGAGATTTAAAGAAGGGATAGAAGAAAGAAAATAATTTTTGGAACACCAACAGACAGTTGATACCCACGCGGGTGCTCTTGCGTGGTTATCAACTGTCGTCAATTGTCAATCTACTAATTTTTAACTTCAAATTCTAATTTTAAAACTACATCAAATCTTCAATATTTCTCATTTTCCTAAATTTTACAACTCCTTTGAGAAAAACTATATCCTCCCAAATATACCCAAAAATCACCAAAAAATTTACAAAACACTCCATAACATAGATTCATGGGATGAGCATAGAGTTTTTGGATTGCTTGAAACGTGAACGAGATATTTCCATTTAACCCATGTTAAGTCGCGGAAAAATGACATTTAGGTTAAGTCCCGCCTTAAAGGAGCTACGTCACGGATGCGCATCTTGAAAAAGTTGGCCATTTTTTTCAAGTTCGCCGTTCGCAATCCATCTTAATCTTCTCCATCCTCAATTAACCATCCTTGTTCCTGTTTGATATATTATTACCTATTTGGTGTTTTTATACCTTTGTAAACCATTATTGTGAGGCTTTCTTCACTTTGAAGGTGGTCTTGCACTTTGCAAAAATGATTTAAAGGAGCTATGTCACGATATTTTAAGTCATTTTTGCGAAGTGCAAAATCACCTTCAAACTAAAGACTCAAAATACTAGTTTGCTAAGGTAGAAAAACACCAAAGAGGTGATAATAAACCAAACAGGAACAAGGATGGTCGAGGATGGAGAAGATTGAGACGGATTGCGAATGGCTAACTTGGCCAATGCGCTAACCGTGACGTAGCTCCTTTAAATTATCGTGACATAGCTCCTTTAAAACGGATTACGATTGACGAATTTGAAAAGTTTAGGTTAAATTTTAATACACAAACTGTGACGCAGTTCCTTTAACACTGGTGGGACCCAGCAGTGATCAATCTCTAATTACTCCTTACCTTTTTTATAACAAATTCAAGTAGGCAGGATATGAGAATGAAGACCCTGATCACGACTTTATTTAAAACCAGAGAATTATTGCAAATGTATGTCAGACAGTAAGGATAATTTATTAGATGTTGACTGGTCACGTATGGCGCATCTTGAAAAAATTGGCCAATTTTTTCAAGTTCGCCATTCGCAATCCGTCTCAATCTTCTCCATCTTCAACCATCCTTATTTCTGTTTGGTTTATTATCACCTCTTTGCTGTTTTTATACCTTAGTAAACTATTATTTTGAGGCTTTCTTCAATTTGAAGGTGATTTTACACCGTTGCAAAAATGTCTTAAAATATCGTGACATAGCTCCTTTAATAAAGTTTGAATTTGAGAAAGATGTTCATCAGTCAGTGACTGACAAGTTATTCACTGAAAACAATTTCCGAGTTCTCCCAACAGGAATCAAACCTATGACCTTCCGTACACCGGTCGGACGCTCTACAGCTGAGTTACAGGAGACTCGTGGGAGCTTAGACCATATAACTAGGTTCAAAAATTTGAATTTGTTCATAAATTTAATTGCATCCGGTTCAAAATGAAAGCCTTTGCAATGAATTGAGTTCATATCAGTCTGAACATTGTAGCTTTCAGTTAATTAAAGGAGCTATGTCACGATATTTTAACTCAAAGTGCAAAATCACCTTCAAATTGACGAAAGCCTCAAAATAATAATTTACTAAGGTAGAAAAACACCAAAGAGGTGATAATAAACCAAACAGGAACAAGGATGGTTGAGGATGGAGAAGATTAAGATGGATTGCGAACGGCGAACTTGAAAAAATTGGCCAAGTTTTTCAAGATGCGCCAACCTAGCTCCTTTAAGAGAAAAGCACATGTTCACTACCTGAGCACTAGTTTTGTCTCTTTTTGAAAGATTTAATTAATTTAGTGGTTAGTAAATCAAGAAAACAAACAAAGGCTATTGTATTGTCAATGAGGTCAAGACGCTGATTGTACTTTCGTTCCACTGCAAATACAATGCTATTCCGTGCCAATTTCATGAACGTTACGTTTGAAATCCTCCGCAGAATAGAGCAACAGCTGGGCGAGCAGTACATCTGAAAATGTTATTAGGGAGGATTAGAGCTAAAACAAACAAAAACGCGTGATTTTATTACATGATAATTGCCAAAACAATCGTAAAACAAATAATAAACATCACATGCACACGCCAGTCAAGGCGTTTTGGATAAAAAAAAGATAAACAAGACTCGCCATATAAAAAGTCATGACTACCATACGGTAGGATTACCTGCATGAGGATGGCGCATCTTGAAAAAATTGGCCAATTTTTTCAAGTTCGCCATTCGCAATCCGTCTTAATCTTCGCCATCCTCAACCATCATTGTTCCTGTTTGGTTTATTATCACCTCTTTGGTGTTTTTCTACCTTGGTGAACTATTATTTCGAGGCTTTCTTCAATCTGAAGGTGATTTTGCTCTTCGCAGAAATTACATAAAATTTCGTGACATAGCTCCTTTAATACAAAGATTTTTAGAATCGATTGCATGTATATAGAAGTAGAATTTTGAGTCGCCGGTCATTCTTTTTAAAGTAGATCGTAAGAGAATTGGAGAGATTATAGGTTTATTGCTAAGCACGAGCAGCGTGAAAATAACTATACATAGCTTTAATTGAACAAAGACTGGTACGAAATTGCTAATTGAAAAATTACACCATCCGAACCAGATGTTAGTTTGTAGTCGTTATTCTTTAAAGACACCTGTTGCCCATGAAGCCAAATCGTCGTCTATCCGTGAAATCACGCAAACGTCCTTACACACTGGCGGGCCGCTTGATCCTTTGAACAATTTGCGTGCAAACCAAACACTGTGAAACGGGAAAAGACAACGGGGGTCGATGAATACGATTTCGTCAGTTTCCCCTTAACCCTTCCGTTTTAAAGTTGCAAAGAAACGTTAACACATGCCACACGAATCAGTCGATCATTGATTCTTCCGGTGTGAAGGCTTCACATGTTATATGCCAATCTTCTCTATTTCAGACGAGTGGAAACTTGAGATATTCTTGCCACGAAAAACAGTAAGTCTAACGTAACTCCCGGTATGTTGTAGGCTGAAAAATCGGTGCATGGCAGAAACTCCGTTTTATACAAGACCATGGACAAAAGTCGAATGCAAAGGAATCGTATCAGAAGAAAAGGTCGCTTAGGCAACTGAATTCTAGGATTTTGTTATCTTCCAGATTTATTTAATGGGCTAAAGTGTAAGGGGCTACTTAAATGAGCTACGTCACGGACCGGATGGTGCATCTTGAAAAATCTAGCCTAAATTTTTCAAGCTCGTCGATCATCGGCAATCCGTCTTAATCTTCTCCACCCTCGACCATCCTTGTTCCTGTTTGGTTTATTATCACATCTTTGGTATTTTCCTACCTTAGTTAACTATTATTTTGAGGCTTTCTTCAGTTTGAAGTTGATTTTTCAACTTCACAAAAATGACTTATAAAACATGATTGTGACATAGCTCCTTTAAATGAGCTACGTCACGGATGGCGCATCTTGAAAAATCTAGCCTAAATTTTTCAAGCTCGTCGATCATCGGCAATCCGTCTTAATCTTCTCCATACTCAACCATCCTTGTTCCTGTTTGGTTTATTATTACCTCTTTGGTGTTTTTCTACCTTAGTTAACTGTCTATTATTTCGAGGTTTCCTTTGATTTGAAGGCAAATTTGTGAAATCTTTTTTTAATCGAAACTTCAATTCTCCCTTACTGATTGCCACACTTTTCCTTCAATTCTGGTTCTGAAATTTTAGTGACACGTCAAGATAGCATCCGTAATACAGTGGAATCCCGATTTCTTGAACCTCCAAGGGAAACGAAAATTGGTTCGACAAATCGGGAGTTCGAAATATCGGGGGTAAAATTACAGTGAAACAAATCCAAGGGAAACGACTCTGGTTCGAGTTATCGGGGTTTTTGAGAAATCGAGGGCTCGAGAAATCGGGATTCCACTGTAGTCGTTAATTTTCTGAGCTTTTCTCGTGGCCTCAGCGACTGTTTAAAGAAGCTATGTCACGATATTTTAAGTCATTTTTTAAACTGAAGAAAGCCTCAAAATAATAGTTTATTAAGGTAGAAAAACACCAACGAGGTGATAATAAACCAAGCAGGAACAAGAACGGTTGAGGTTGGAGAAGATTAAGACGGATTGCGAACGGCGAACTTGAAAAAATTGGCCAATTTTTTCAAGATGCTCCATCCGTGACGTAGCTCCTTTAACAAAGTATTCACATGTTGGTCACCCTCAGCACAAGCCCTCAGTAGAGAATGCGCTATCAATCATTCTTCCGGCGGAGTCAGTGTACTATTTTGGGCCAGAAATATTCACAGATCAACATCATGATCGAGAACGTACTTACAAAAGCTTTATTGTCAACCTCTTCATCAGAACCACTATTTAAAACAAAACATTAATCAACTTGTTATTAATTTAATTTTAAGACTGCAATATTCGTTAGACGAGATTTCCACCGCCTGCTCTATATCACTGAAATATTTCAACTATTTAAGTTGATCCATTTTTAGTTGCACAATAATCAATTACAGATAAACAAGCATTTTATTTAGATATATTGATAAAGAGCAATAAATAGCGAGCTAATTCTGTAGTGCTGTCAAAAATAATGAGTGTGAACTGTTGACAACAAAATGGATTGAAAATGCAGGATATGCGAAACTCTAGTAAACATATTTGTAAAACAAATACCACATGCTACCGGGAAACTTGTTTTCACAAAACCACTAGACTACCCTAAAATGTTGGGCCATTTTGAGTTAAAAGTTGATGAACAACTTTTGATGGTAAACGACGGTACAAGATCGATGTTTTTTAATGAGACCTTTTTGCCTGACTATGTCATGCCTATGAGTTCTAACCAGGACGAAACAGCTGTCCATGGCTGCCACTCTACGGTTAACTCTACGGGTAATTCCGTTGTGCGCATGCGTACAGGGTTTGACCAAACCGCGGAGATGTGTTGTGTGGCCACAGCATTGTGGAATTTGTCTGTTTTGAGTTAAAATTTGGACTATATGTGTTGTTAGTTTGGATGGGAAAGTTGAACATATTTTGTGAGTTAGAGGTCGTTAGAATTGTTTGTCATTTCATATCAAACTTTGGGTTAGGATTTTGGAATCAAATTTTTCTCCTTTTAAAGGAGCCAGCCATGCCACCATATTTTAAGTCATTTTTGTGAAGTGCAAAATCACCTTCAAATTGAAGAAAGCCTCAAAATAATAGTTTATTAAGATAGGAAAATACCAAAGAGATGATAATAAACCAAACAGGAACAAGGATGGTTGAGGATGGAGAAGATTAAGACGGATTGCGAACGGCAAACTTGAAACAATTGGCCATTTCTTCAGTTCAAGATGCGCCATCCGTGACGTAGCTCCTCTTCAAGCCTTTTCTATTGTTTGAGTTTTGGATGGTGAAGTGGACTCACCTTTTGTGAGTTAGAATTGTGGGCACAGTTTGTCTGTTGTGAGTTAACATTTTGGGCCATGTATCAGTTGTCACTGATTTACTGACCCCCATACCAAGAACAATGCATCCACTGTAATTCAGTGCGGCACTGACCCATCTAATTACGATCTTCTATTTTAAGTCGAGGCAAAGTACATGCAAAGCTACTTTGAAGAATGCTAAAGTTTCACATATTTACTGTAAGATATTTATAGCTTTAACCAAACACGAATAAACTTTATTTCAAGTCAGTTCTAAATAGCATAAGCAGTTGCATTTCTGGGGAAAGTGAAACGCTTGATTTAGCTGAAATGAATGTCTACTAACTCTTCCACTCCCGAAGTCAAAACTGATTCGTGGCAATAAATGCCGGTTCTAACTTTTTAGTTTCCGTACGCCGAACCTTAAGCCTGGTTTCCATATGATCGCAACGATCATATGGAAACCCCTCTTGCGATCATATGGAAACCAGGCTTTAGTGTGTGGCCAGAGCTTATTGTGCAATACTTTCATGGGTACTGGATGAAACCCAAGTGCGTGACTATTCCAATAAAAGCTGCTGAGCAGAGGTTTCACGTGGTACTGTTTTTGCGTTCTACAAAGTCGATCTATAAACGTTTAAGTTTATGAATAAAACCCTAGCGTATGACCATTCAAATGAAAGTTATGGAGCAGTACTTTCATGGTCTTTCATGTGGTACTGCTTATTATGCTGTACAAGGTGGTTCTAACTTTTGAGTCTGTGGATGAAACCCTAGTGTGCGACCATTCCAATGAAAGCTAGTGAGCAATACCTCCATATGATACTGTTTGTTTTTCAATGTTTTGCTAAACGAAAATGTTTTCAATTAATAACTTTACCACTCCGGAGAATGGAGTGAAAGAGTTAACTCAACACAAGCTCTGCACGTGTCTACGTAAGTAATTAGTTAAGAACAAACTCCTGTCATCACTAAGTGGGGGAGATTT